TGGAGCGAAAAAGAAAAGAAAACATGTTTTATATACAGTCCATGGTTTTATCTCATGCTTCTTGACACATAACGGAACATATTCAGAAGATTTAAATCTGCCTCATTTTAATCCATCTGAGAAACTGTGTCTAGAATGTGTATACCACACGATATTTACACAAGCTCAGTATTTTTTACAAGCAGTTATTTGTTTTGTAAGGATGTTACGGACAGGGCGACAGTAGCTCAGTTGGTAGAGCATTGGCCTTTGAGCCTGAAGGTCGTGGGTTCGAGCCCACCGTAAGACCTACTTCCACTGATGACTGCTGTCGTTGTGTCCTTGGGCAAGACACTTAACCCCACTTTGCCCAAAAGCCCCAACTGAAAGATCTCAGCTCCTGTGGACTCACCACCTGCAGGAGGATCAGTGAGGGGCTGGTGCTCTGTGTACTGGGTGCAGCTCTGACTGCCACCCCCCCGACCCAGAAATGGATTAAGGGGAAGAAAATGGATGGATGTTACGGATGTTCTAAATGTATGGTCAAATCTGCAGCATCTCGTCTGTGCACACAAGGGGAACCCCTCAAAGGAGAACAGAAATGTACATGTTTGTGTCATCTTCCTGGTACTGTATTTTTACATTTACTCACCATGAAACATGTTTAGTCAGAAACTAGGTATAAAGGGAAACATGATAAAGGGATAGAACACAAAGATCAGGCCGGAGATCAGGCAAGCTCAGACTTTTGAGGGAATATTTGTATTTCAGAAAGATGAGCTACACATTTGATTTCTCTGGAATAATTTCCACTTCATCCAGACCCTACGCCCTCATCGGCCTGAAGTGGGACTGACAGGTTAGACCTGACTTTTCAGAAACACAGTTAACAACTTTTATTTTTTTGTATTTTATGATAATAATGATAATGCTTTATATAACACTTTTTTGGATCACATCACATTGCATGATTCATTCACTCCATACATGATGATGATAAGCTATTGTAGCCATAGCAACCATGGGGCAGACTGACAGAAGTAAAACAACCAGCATGTGCCTTCGGCTCCTATTCACGCACACATCAGACTCATACTGAGCATTGTGGGTGGTGATGGTGGGGAGTTCCTTACCTCACAATATATAGCGGCAGTTTTGCACTTTACAGCTGCCACACTGTGTTCCCAGAGATCTCCCATCATATTGTTAACCAGGCATTGCACTGCTTAGCTTCTGAGGACCTCCAGGATCAGGCTTTCACATGCAGATGTTGCTAAAGTGTGCTATTATTAGTTCTACAACCAATAATTACTGCTTGTAAATGTCGCTATGTAACTTCCTGTTTTTCTTCACAACCTGTGAATTTGTTGTTTTAAAACTGTTATTTATGTTTTAAATAGCTTTATTTCTACACATTAGTTTGATATGATAAATACACATATGTTATGTGCACTTTGAGACCCAGGACACATTTTTCTTAACCATTGTCATCAAGTCTTGTACCTCTTTATCATCCCACCCTTCAGAGAAATGAATTAATGCTTCCCAGTAGTAGTTTAAATAGTCCATCATTGCAAAGGAAATAGATTAAACAGGTTCCAAATCAGTCAAATACCCACAGATCTTCCTCCCGGGGGACATTTCCGACTCTCCTCCCAACTTGAGATAAAAGTGATTCCTTTCACTCTCATCCGGACCAAAATAAATTGTTTGATCAGGAGCAACCAGGACTCTCCGACAACACGCGGACAGGAACGTGGAGAAAATGTAATCTGACACAACCCAGTTCAGTCAAAACTAAGAAGAATAAAATAAAAACACTAACATGTAGACAGCTAGACATATGTGGGACAAGCCTCTGACATGGGCCACTGTAAAATTAGCACGCTTTGACAATAAAGAGACTTTTGATGGATGAGAAAGTTAAGGTGGGACATGATGAAGACTTCCCATGTGACCCAATATAAAAGACATATCAGGAATGATTTGAAGGTTTTTGCAGGTTTCAAAGCAGGTGGAGATCTATTTTCTGCATTTTTGTTCAAAGAATGAATATTTTTTGTGTATTCAGGAAAAGTGTAGTCCTATCTAATGTCTTATTTCTGGGGCTGTTCCTACTAGGTGTGATTCCTCTGCACCCCTTTGCCAGAAACTCACATACAATTGTAATTCTTGTTGGCATTTTTCCCCCTTGTCTAACATGTGCACACTGGAGGAAGAGAAATTAAAATTGATTTGTCATTTTCCACACATTAACCATACTGTATTTGGTCACTGTATTCCCGTGACACTTCATATACACACACACAGTAGATAAAAGTTAGGGTATACTTTATTGGCCCACAGTTATATGTGCCCTCTGCATTTGACCCATCCTTCCAATGTCACTCGGGCAACCTGTTAGGAGCAATGGTCGCCCAGGGAGCCCTCTCCACATGTTGAACTTTGAAAGGTAGTCATATGCATTTGTTGTGTTTCCCATGTCTAAAATGGGGGAGAATGTCATGACAGGAGCCAGAGGTAAATTTGTATTCATATTTATTTGAAAACAACAATCTATTGTCCACTTGTACTGCGACTCCTCACTCAGACATGATACAGACACGTCACAGAGTTACCCTTTAACACACACCACCTTTTTTTTGTCCTTTTTCTTGCGCTCGTCATTTCTATACAGTTGTGCTTTGATATTTCTGAGAGATTTAATTTTAAAGACATCATTATTGTCATGATAAGTTTAGTACATAACAGGAAATAGAAAAACATTGTCATAAGAAGTAGTAGAGGATATATTGGTTTGAATACACACCGAGAATACAGGGAAATGCACCCAAGTGTCCACAAACTCCCACTAACTCCTGATTCAAGGGTTTAACTAATGTTGCCTTGCAACAAGAACACTCCCTGCTGCCAGCAGAGTTCACAGAAATATTGCTTAGCTACAAAATGAACGCTGAGGAGGGAGAATGTACAGAAGGATTAGTGAGTTAGGACTGAGCGCTTTAATGCAGAAGAGTGAGCCAGAGGAGTAAGGTGCTTTTTGGCTTCCGACTTTGGTGAATAGATTTAAATGAGTCCATGTTTGTCCTGGCTGCTTTACCTTTGCTGTAGTTTTAACATGTTTGGACGATGGCTTTGCTTGCTACAAGTTTAAGGGAATTCATTATATTATTTTAGCTTGTGGTGTGTTTAGTCAGAGTAATGATGGTTACTAAGACTTCTTTTTAAAAGGCATTTACGACATAATCTCCTACGCTGGTAGGGCAAACAGTGTGACATCAGTTTAACAGTGATTCACCATCAGCGATGCTACTCAACTTCCTAATGTTTTACATTCAGTGAAATTGTAACATTCTTTGGCAACCTCTAATTTGGTAGATAATAACTTAATATTAATTTCCCCTTGTTTGTAGCTTTGGTTTACTGAGCAGTAGTGAGTGTACAGAAGGTGGTAAAAACCCAACAAGGACACAAGGTTACATTCTTTTACGTGTTGAGAAAAAATGTGCAGATTCAAAGCTATTCACCAAAAGATTGTATGTGAAAAGTTGATGGTTAAATTACATGGACTGGAATGTTTTTGCATCAGACGGTTAGTTTGGATGGTGAGTGGCGTGTGCATTCACTTAATGATCAACGCAGACTCCTAAAAACAAGGACCCATCGCACAGAAGAAGAAAGTATAAAAGTCCACGACAGGCAGAATGAGCAGCGGAAATGTACAAGCCAAACTACGTCAATGTGAATGTCTCTTAAGTGCACATAGATAGAGAATAGATACGTTTATATATTGTATTTATATGCGGGGTAACATACTTCTATGTGTAAAAGCGTCTACTTCAGCCACATAGATGTATTTAAATACATATCCAAACCAGCACCTTCCCATCTGGAGAGAAAGATGTGGTCCATGGTTCATTACTGATGCTGACAGAACTCTCCTTTCATCTGTTATGGCAAAAGCAACACAGTTTAGAGTGTAAGATGGAAGCTTACACATACAAAAGTCTTTGAATAATGGTTGTAAATTTTATGATAAAATAAAGTCTTGTGGGATGCAAGAAATTATGTGAAATACAGTACATTGGCCCAATTTGGTTGAATTAAATAGACAACAGTTAATTAAGTGACTTGAATGACTGACTTCATCTTTTCATTTGCGTAGATTCGACGAGAAAACTATTAATGGAACAATTATATATATATTATAATTCCAGTGACTTTTTAAGTGCATTGAAAAGTAATATCATAATAAAATTTAATACAAAAGGTGCTTTCTCCATAGATAGATTTCCCTGTCAAGTCATATCAATATGATGAAATGTCTGATTGAATGTACCGCATCAGTAGAGAACAGACACACACTTTTCTCCAGAATTGGGAACATATTGGTTTCACACATAAAGCCATTTTACAGTGTACATATCCTCGCTCTAACTAAAGCCATAGCAAAAACCCATGCTTTACATAGAAAAGGCATCCACAACATTTAAGAAAAAAATGTACAATTTATGAAACATGGTAACAATAATAAATAGTATAATAGAATTGCTGCTGTACACAAAAAAGCAATTTTTAAATTTCACTCTTATAAAAATATGTTTTAGTGCAACCGTACGTAATAGTAATATCCGTAACTTCACATCGCTTGTTTAAGGTGACTAAAAAGAACAAAAATCACATGACAGAAATAAAAGATGGGGTATAAGGGCACAGGGGAGATTGCATTAATACAAAGCTGATACATTGTATATATCATAATATTTACAATTACCTTCCTGGTTTGTTGCTCATAGGAAATAAGCAAGAAAAAAAAAAACACAAATAATGAAAAAAGGCACACACGTATTTTTGAATTTTTCGTACCTCCCGACCAATCTTAATCCAGGTGTCGATCGGTTTCAACGTCTTTAAATTAACAGTAGCCCCAGACATGCCCTTTACATACGAGACTAATAAGATAATGCATGTGCAAAACGTGTATCTCAAAAGTTGCACTGAATCCCTTCGGGTTTTTAAGGTTACGAAGCCGGTTCTTTGCTTCCCTGCGTGCTTTCCGGTGACGGGCCGGGGGTTGGCGACTGGCTAAAGTGCAATGGCGTGTTGTGGGACTTCCCTTCGTCCGCGTTTGTCTCCGCGTCGATGCAGAGCGACGAAAAGTTGTCGGTGAAGTTTTGAATGCCCTCCTCTGGTTCCGCCGGTCGGCACGGGTCCGGGGGGGACTGGGGAGAGGGCGAGACGTTTTGTTGGGGGTGTGGCGGAGTACGGTCGCCCGGGTTGGAGTCCTCTGAGGTGCTCTTCTGGAGGGAGGTGACCCGGGGGCAGGAGGCGTCGTGCTGCGGTAGAGGAGAGGTGACTGAAGCCGGGACAGAGTGGACCATCTGGATACCGCCGATGGGGATCATGGGGAAAGGAGAGCGCACCTGGAAGAAAACCAGACATCAATGGGTTTGCACGGGTGTGAAGAACAGGAACTAAAATCTATGTTTAAACCTGATTCAATTTAAATGTACTCTGTGTAATTTTTAACAACAAAACATGTAACCAATAACAATTGTGACCTTTTTGAGAGTATTGATAGAATAGGGGGTATTTAACCTTTTATAGTCCCAACAGAAAGAGAAAAAAGTATAAAATGTCAGACTAAAACATGCCTTACTACTAACATGTCTCATTAGAAAACATGTTTTCTTAAGCAGACTTGTAAGCAAGAAGAGCTGATTGGCTGAGTGAGGGTGGTCCTCTCTTTTTCATGTTTCTGAATGAAAAGGCCAAACCAATACAGTATGCATGTGAAACTATTGATACTAACTGTTTTGAGAGCAAAGAACTAGTTAGATGGATGTTATTGCATAGTTTAATTGACAGATGTGACAAAGGACAAAAGAAATCCATGCATGTGATGTTTTTCTAGCCAAAAAAAGGTTCAAAACTCCTTTCAGAATCAGTGAAATGTGAATGTTGATGGTTATGTCACCTGTAGCTGTGAGTGAAGAGGAAGGTGGCTGAACAGGACTTGATGAGGAGGACTTCCTCTGTTTCCATCAGGAGGAGATGAGCCTAAATGATCCTGAAATGGATCAAGAACAATGTTATAGGTACTTTAATTATTCACCAGAGACACTAATTGGTTTACGTATAATAATGTCTCTATCATGTTTATGTACAAGCATTGTGACGAAAAGGATAGAGGTCATATTCAGCTCCTGACTCCTGACTGATTCCCAAACGTAATCTAAACATAAAAAATGCCATATGATGATGTGAAGTTTATCAAATCAAAAGTTGCAGAACTATATTTGCCCTTAAAAGTTGTGTTGATAACATATTGCGTTTCTTACCGTCTCCATGTCGGCGCTGGCTCGAGTCTGACCCAAGAGTCCAGACTGAAGACCTGCCCTCAGGCTCCGAGCGCCACTGTGCGGGCTGCAACACAAAACCGGCAATCTGTAATAACCGCACTCTCTACAACACACTGCAGCAGGCACTGAAGGAAGGAGGACTATTTTACATTTACAGACAAGACAAACAGGCATAAAACATAAAAGCATAGCCATCAAGAAAGGAAACTTTCTAGCTCCATAATGACAGATGGTTTCATTTTCTCTATTGTCCAAATATCTTCTCCTTTGGTTGCAGATTTTATTGTTTGAATGTTGTGTTAAAGCTAAAGTACCTCTGTCATTTTGGTTCTATCAATAAAGGGTCACAACAGAAAATTTCAAAGAAACAAATTAAGACCGCAACATTGTGTCTTGTGTGACAAAATACATGTATGAGAAAACTAGGCGGCACGGTGGCTGAGTGGATAGCACTCTCGCCTCTCAGGAAGAAGGTCCTGGGTTCGAATCCCAGTTGGACCAGGGCCTTTCTGAGTGGAGTTTGCATGTTCTCCCCGTGTCTGCGTAGGTTTCCTCCGGGTGCTCCGGTTTCCCCTACCACTAAAAATATGTACAATAGGTCTGGCATGTGCCTCCTGTACTGGCATCCCCACTCCCAAAAATCACAATGATAAACCGCTTTGAGACTCCGATGTGCAGTGAAATGGCTGTATAGAAATAAAGATTACTTACTTACTACTTACTATTACTAGTGGTAACATTTCACTCTGCATCCTCTGAAGTTTAGGAAAAAACGTATTTTTAGCCTCGACTAAAAGGTTTTTAAAAATTATAAAAAACCCTAACAAAGGCATAATTCAATGCAGGCTCACAATATTCAAACCCTACGGTCATTTTTTTTGTTGGCAACATTTGTCTAAAGTTTCAGCCCTCTAGTACATATGTACAGGACGTGTTTTGGTATTTATTTCTTTAGAGTTTTTCAACGTTTTATAGTGAACAGAGACACAGTGGATTTGTTAACAAACAGGGCTGTTTTAGAAAAACTACTGCACGGTTCATAATTGGACTTTAGTCTTTTCCTATTTATTTAATTGTTCATAAACATTGGTGCTATGCGTTCAGATTTGAGCGTTACCTTTGGTACAGGAGGTGCTGATGTTGTAGCCCTCTTCTTGGGGACACCGGTCGAATCATCCCCCGGTGGCGCCCTCTAGGGGACAGATCCCTCTTAAAATCTCGGCTTCCTCCAGGAGACGTGGGTCTGGAGAGCGGCGACAGCAGCGACAGGTGTCCTCTCCTGGGAGACAGATCTCTGCGGTAACTCCCCGCTCCAATGTCACGTTTGGGCGAAACGTGGCGTAGCGGTGAATTGTCCCGACGAGGAGACAGGTGTCCAGGTCTGGAAGAAAGTTCCCGCCGCGGGGAGAGGTATCGACGAGCCGATGGGGAGGAGGATGGCGATATGGGAGAGGGGCAACCGGGAGTGTCCAAGCCTGGGGAAGAGAGGCGCGAGGGGGGGCATAGATCTGACGACGATATGGACAGATCTTCGTCTACAGATGGCGGAGCGAGAAGTCTAGTGACGGCCATCCCCCGCTGGAACTGCTCCTTTGGATCTACGGGATGCGCCGCTTGCGGAGTGATCTGAATGCTCGGGACGGTCGTGAAATACCCGAAAAGTGAGGGAGGCGGTTTAGCGTTGTGACCCAGGATGTCCGGAGAGCCGGCGGGCACAGGGGGGTGCAGGGAGAGGTGCGGCGCCACGGAGGTAATGGACATGGCGGGCAGGCCGTAGGGCTGGGGGCTGGTGGAGCGAGAGCGCGTTTTTGGCGTGGAGTCTCCGTCGTAGTCGTCTTCTTCGTCCTCCTCGTCCTCGTCCAGGTCTTCTCCGTCAGAGTCGTCGGCGTCAGAAAACTGGTGCGGCTCAAGAGACGAGTGCAGCTTCTCTGAACGCTCTTCAACTGTGTCTGGAAGGACAACACGTAAACGTAAGATTAACTTGTGGATCTCACAATGGAGAAATTGACATCACTTAGGGACTCAGGGTGTGCAAAAAGACAGGAAGTGTGCAAACATGTTCAAAGGTAAAGTAAGTTTATACACAGTGAGTACAACTGGCACAATTCTCCCTCATTAAGGACACGTTCACTTCTGTTGATCTTCACTTTAACTGGACCAAGTCTGTTTCAGTTTTCTAAAAGCCACTTGTCGCTTCAGTCAGTTACATTTCTTTAAAAAATCTCTGTGAAACATTTAAAATTAGGCGAAACATGTGGAATAATGTTTTAATTATTTGTCATATCTTAACATTTGACCAAACCTAAAGTACATACTCAAGACAATCAATGTGATAGCAAATTATTAATTATTTTAATGACAGAGCATTGCACAGAAACAAAGAATTAAAGAAACTAATAAAAACGTCCTAAAGTGAGTATCAGCCTGATTGTTGGTTCTGGCTCCCAATGTCTTATCTGGACTTTCTGAGACACTTATTCACTCTAATGTGTACAAATGCAGTAGGTCTGAATACTCCTAACGAAAGCTTCATTTTGAAAGTGTTTCAAGTGAGCCCAGAACCTGAAACCACATTCCCACCATTTCACACCAATAAACCACGAGCACAATGAACCAAAGCTGTTAAAATCACTTTTGGTTTTCGAAGCAGTGGACTCCAGCCAAACGCATTTACAGGAGCCACATTAGTGTTGGCAGCCAACCAATCAGAACGCTTCTCTCTGACACACAACTGTAAAAGTGTCTGTGATTGGCTGTAAAAGTTCATGTTGGGAACAACTGAAAGTGCATTTACGAGGCAGTAGTTAAGACAAATAGTTCAGCATACATTCTGTTGTTTCTGTTCTTTTTGTTAGGTACGATTCACTGTACTTCTATAAAACAGATTTGAGTAAGTAACAGATTAAGAATCAAACACAATTTAACAAAACGGTTGTGCAATACATTCTGCCATTGCTTCCCGCAAGTCATTCAGCAAATCAATATCTATACCAGGCATGTCCAAACTACGGCCCGTGGGCAGAATGCGGCCGTCTGTGTCATTCTATGTGTACCTCTGCCGCTAAAACAAAGTAGCCACTGAGGTACTTTTGCAGAGTCATCCAGCCATCTTCAGCTCCACCAATAAAGTCATGTTATACCACCTTGTAAAGCGCCAAACCTGACATTATTGACATTATTTGTGGTGACAGTGGCTCAGTTGGTAGAGCATTGGCCTTTGAGGGTTCGAGCCCACCGCGAGACCTTCTACACCGACTCCCACTGATGACTGCTGTCGTTGTGTCCTTGGGCAAGACACTTTACCCACCTTTGCCTATAAGAAGCGCAAAAGTAAGTCTGTGTATATATATGTCTACATGTGTATTCATCGAACCAAATTTCTCCATTGTGAGATCAATATATGTGTTTTTAGTTGTCAAAAAGTCCATGTTGCTAATGTAGCTGTGGTGTGAATCCATAGGGGCACATCATACCTCATTGTAAAGCGCAGAACTTTTTAAAACCATTTTAAAACTCAACCCGAGTGTTATACAGTCCATGTTGTCGGCCCCTGGACTAGTCTGGTTAACTAAAGAGGCCCTCTTACCAAAAAGTTTGGGCACCCTGGTCTAAGGGGTAACACATGTAATTGAATAAATGTTAGATAATTCTAGTTTAACCTCACTTAAGACTTCCAAGCAAAACAATAACCTGTCTTTACTAGGCCAAAATACGAGAGCTTTAACCACAAATCTAAACCAATTCAAACCCAAGACCAAAACAAAACTTGCCTAATCCACACTCACATTAAACAACTAGTCTCCAGTCCTCCTCCATAGAAACATTTATCTGACCACATTTATTTACATGTGTGACTCAGGCCCTAAACTATTCTCTGTGGCTTTGGATTGGAGAGGGAAGCAGCCTCGAGGTCCACAGTTACTGTACTGTCAAACACACTGCTGATGCAAAATGATTTTAAGGAGGGGCATGTGTTTGTGAAGCCATGCTACATTTTAGTATATTTTTTTATGAATTAGAAAACATAACATTGTGTATTTGCTCTGAATATTTAGGAATATTTTTGTGGCTCACTGGCTCACTGCCTGGTTATTCTAAGTAATTAAGTAAACTCTATTTATATAGTGTTATAGACAGTAACAAAGTGCTTCACAATACAAAAATGCAAATATGATAAAAACACACAGGTCAGGTATAAAAATGACATTTTAGACCTAAAACTGACGTTTTTCACTATGCATAAAGAGACACATTTTCAAAAAACCCTGGATTACCCTTTGGATCAAGGCCTTTTAATATGAAATGGAAGAGCTCCTCTTGGTGGAGGTCTGTACTCTACGGGCCACATTTATCAAGTGTTGCTCACGTGCAAAAGCTGTTAGCAACTCTTACCATTGGAGCAAACTGATCATACACTCGTCCGACAGAACAAAACCCACAAATATTGCACATGCTGATTTAATTTGCACCTGGATTGATAATATTCTTCTAGTTTCTACACAGATATATACTAAGATGTCTCTTTAATGTACCGGCTGAATGCCCTTGTCTCAGTATGCAAACATAAAATCAGCTGATAAATTCTCATAACGTTGAGCTCTTGTGACCCTCACCTCCTTCATCGGCCTCTATGTCCTCCACTGACGACATGGACACTCCCAGCTCCAGACACTTCTTCATGTGGGCCTTCGACTTCATGTGTTTCGTCAGATTTCCTACAAAAACAATCACAGTTATGTTATTATCAAGAACACATGTTCCTCATATTCAAATTCAAGTAACTCTGGGTCTTGTCCACGACTGGGTGAAGGATGACGTGAGATTGACAGACAGATCGGTGCAACGTGTGCAGTGATGTGGTCGCTGTATTTAACTGTTGTGAAGTCTACGTTCACTCCCTCACCGATGGTCATGAGTTTACGGTAATGATCGAAAGAGATAGAGTGAGGAGCTCAATCGCAAAGGAGAAGCAGCAGCCAGTTGAGGTGTGTCTAATAAGCAGAGCCGGCGCTTCCTATACGCAGACTACGCAGTATGCGTAGGGCCCCGTATACTGGAAGGGCCCCGGAGTGCGGACTCTTCTTTTTTTTCTTTTTTTTTTTACATTGCTCTTACTCGAGTCCTGACTAGAACCAGGAAGTACGACCACATTAGTCCGGTCCTCAGGTCTCTGCACTGGCTTCCTGTGGCTCAGAGAATAGACTTTAAAACAGCTCTGCTTGTGTACAAGTCTCTCCATAGCCTCGCACCAAAATATATTAGTGACATGTTAGTCCCATATCGGACTCTGAGGAGCACAGGGACTGGACTCCTGTTAGTGCCCAGAGTCAGAACTAAACATGGGGAGGCTGCTTTTCAGATTCATGCTGCTAAAATCTGGAACAGTCTTCCTGAAGATGTGAGACAGGCCTGCTCTCTGACAATGTTTAAAACCAGGTTAAAGACAGTTCTGTTTAGCTGTGCATACAACTGAGGAATTTTATATTTTTATCTTTCTTTTTAATGTACTGTGATTATTTAATGCTTTCTTGTTTTGTTCAGCACTTTGAGTTGCCTTGAGTATGAATTGTGCTATAAAAATAAACTTGCCTTGCCTTGCCTACGCGTGCAGTTACGAGGCCCTTCTTATTCGGAATCACCCATTTGATTGGTTGCTACAGTTGTCTCTTTTTGTCTCCCATGATTCTCATACGTTACGTCCTTACGTCGCACTTTCAACCCTCCCCTCCCTCCACCCTGTAGTTGTCAGTCGCGCAGCCACGAGCAGAGGCTGAGACGCTGAAGCGGAGTTATGAAAAAAGGGAAAAAAGATAGCGAACTGCGGGAACAACAGGCGGGGGAAAAAACGTGTGGTTGCCGACCCGACGCATTGACTGTCTGCAAAGAAAGTTCAATATTGTGTCTGACATGTTTCATTTCTGTTTTTAACGAGTCCCAAAACAACTTCATCAGTCAAGCTCTTTGTTGTGGTTAAGGTGGACACCTTCAAAATAAACGTGCTTCCTTTGGTAATCGGAAGTATTTTGTCATATTTGTAATTTAGACATAATACTAACAGTGTTAGCATAATGCACTACTTATATTAATATTAAGGTATTATATTATTACTAGTGGTGATAATAATGAAACTAGTTATTTTATATATATATATATATATATATATGTATATAAACCTTCCTTTGCTTTATATAATAACTAGTTATATTCCTACAAGGCAAGAACCAGCTCTGCTAATATATATATATATATTATATATATATATATATATATATATATATATATATATATATATATATATATAATTATATATAAAATATATATTTATAAATATATCACTAGTATTTGTTTTATTTTTGTATCTTAACATGTTGCACACCTCCGTTTTTTGCAAAAATCTGAGTGATTATATCCATGCCAAATGTGACATGTACATTTGTCCTGTGTGAGTTCAATAAAGTCTATCTTATCATATCTTAGCTTATTTTATCGTGTGTGAAAAGTTCAAATGTCATTTTATCTTGTGTTGAATCAATCACTAATCAAGTCTTATATTGCTTGATTAGTGTGAATTATTTATTTGTAATATATGTGTGTAATGGAACGTCTGCTTGCTTTAATTGTTATGGTTTCTTGAATTAGGTGTAGGGCCCCTATGCTGACTTCTGCTTAGGGCCCCAACAAGGCAAGCACCAGCTCTGCTAATAAAGATACTAATAATACATTATACTTATAATGCATTTTATTGGACACTAAAATACGCTTTCCAAAAGGTACAGAATAACAAGAAACAAAAATAAAAAGCTAAAATAAACAGCCACGTTTTGAGCAGTGATTTGAAAGTCGGAAGTGAGTCCGAGTTCCTGATGTGTTGTGGGAGAGAGTCCCATAGAGAGCATCAGTTTCGGGTGCCTCCTGCAGGAGGTGTTGTGGGAGAGAGTCCCATAGAGGGCGTCAGTTTCGGATGCCTCCTGCAGGAGGTGTTCTGGGCATTTTCCACCGGAAAGAGGCGTTGGAGGGACTATGTCTCTCAGCTAGCCTGGGAACACCTTGGAATTCCCATGGATGACCAGAAGAACTCTGGGCATCTCTGATCAGAATGCTACCTCCATAATCCAGAAATGGATAAGGTGGAAGAAAATTGATGGAGGGGATGGGTGGAGGAGCACATTTTTGAGAGAACACCAGATATAAAACTGGACGTAGAGATAACTCAAATTATGCCAAGAGTTAAAAAAGGACAGGCATGTGAAAATCAGAGGGATGAGAATTTTATTTTAGCCTTTAGGTGATGTGGGTCTGAATGGTGCAGCAACATAATAGAGGAATCATTTGTAATACAATAACAAATGGTTGAAAGTTTTGGGAAAACAGTTTTTTAAGCAGTTGTGTTGACACAGCCTCTAAAAACATAATATATAATTATCTGTGATGTCATTCTTTGTCACTTGGGAAAAAACAGAAGAGCGATTTCAAAACGTGACATTTGCAAAGGGAGGATTGATCACATGTGACTGCACCGTTCTGCCCTCGGGGGTTTCCATGGCTAACAATTCACTTTATGATTACGCAGACCTCACCCGTATTCTCGACGGACTGGGACACAATGGCACAGGTGAGACGCAGATTTTAGCGCTCCTGTTATAAAGTTTCAGGGCACCACTTTTTGTCTGTTTAAAATAAAATGTAACAAAAAAACGTTGGTGCCTAAAGCTTTAAACAAACTCAATAGAAAAAGGAAATACAAGTGGTAGCCACATTTATGCTTCCAAATTCCAAAACACAAGATTTTAACAAAGAACTGGCTGTACAACAACTGAATCTTGATTGAAATTCAAGTCTTAATTCAACAAAGTAAAGGGAGTGTGACTATCTTGTCTCCTCTGTTCTATTTCTGTCATCGTCGACCAAACAAAAAGCAGTTCCTGAGCTCAGAAGTAGCAATTAAAAATGTTGTGCTTGATTTTTGTTATAGATTTTTGTGTTGTGGTTCAATGCAGATAATTTTTAGCTATACTGTTATCGAAATACTACACCCATAACAAATATCACTCTAATTTCAAATATCATGCAGCCCTACTCAGAAGTTCCTCTTTTATGTGTCTTTGAACCGTGGTTTAAAATTAGCCTTGACGCTGGGGCACATTCTTCAGAGTGAAACTGGTGTTCTACCTTTAGTCTTGAAGGCGAAGTTGCAGTATTTGCAGACGTAAGGGCGGACGTCCGTGTGCGTGCGGATGTGTTTCTTTAACATGCTGGGCTTTTTACATCTGATCCCACACTCCTCACAGATGTACTTCCCCCGACCGCGCCCGCGTACGTACACATAGTCCTCGTTTGATTTGTATCTGAAAGACAAAGACAGGCCGTAAATATGATGCTATTTCAATATCACAATCAAACGGATAGTGAATGTACTAAGAAATATAAGACTCTGTATACACACATACAGGTGAAACTCAGGGCTGAATAGAATATTGTTCCAAGGTTCATTTATTTCTGTAATCAATATAAAATGTGAAACCAATACATGAGCAACAAAGTGACATTTGCCAAACGTTTTTGATGTAATTTAGAAAATTATGGTGAACAGTTAATCTTCAAAATATGAACTGCAAGCCATGTGATGAGATTAATAACAAAGAAAGCCTTGATATGCCTCACTTTGTGTGCAATAAGTCTGTCATATATTACAGTATATTCACATTGTAAATTGGTTACAGAAGTGAGCAGACTCTTTCACCTGTCTGCACTTTCTAACTCCATTTGCCAATGGATCTAGTTTTACTTAGGAATAGGAATAAGGACATTTCACAGACATTGGGAAATCCTATTAGTATGGTGGAGTATGGAGGCTGGAAAAGGCCAAATGCTCATAGATCTTTATAAATTGTTAGACACAACAGGCACAATACACAAACGTTAAAATAATTGCACTTTTAGCTTTTACAAAACCTTTTCTTTTAGTCCACATTGTCCATTAAATACAACTTTATAATAAAAGTCAAAGAAGCATGTTTCCATCAGTGTGAATGAGAAAAACGATCATAATTCCACTTTAAGATACATCAGTGTTATTTTTCACATTAGAGACAGAAAACCTGACACCTTCTCTTTAAAAGTCCATAAAAAATAAAAAAATAAAAGCATGTATTTAATAAACATTGTTGGATCAGGAGTAACGTGTTTGGACCACCACTGCTGTTTAAACTATACATCTCAAATCACAAAGTACGAATGCATTCAGACATTAAAACCTTCAAAACGGCAGGCTGCTGCCATTTCCTGTTCTGTCTGCTTCTATGAGGTCAAGTATCATATTTTTCCAAATTGATCTGAACTAAAACTACAGACTGCTCCTGCAAAGAAGTGGGAAATACCTCCATCTGAAAGTTTACACAGCTGCTGCCAGGTCTGAAAATGAATTATGATATTTGGGCTTGTTATTGTATTATGGGAGGTGAGAATGTAAAATGGACTCACATTATGTATAGAAATTATTCATTTTTTACCACTTTTTTGCTGTATAATTGAATGCGGGAGTTTGAATTAATGTAATTGAACCATATGTGTTTTTAGTAGCAGACTACAGTGCTAGACAGACAATGGACCAAGGGACACATTTTAAAGTCTGCTCCACAATAAGGTAATGTAATGTCTACTTCAACATAATGTTCACCTTAAGTCACGTGCATAAAAATGTCTGATAGATTTCCCTGCAGGTCTGCAGCCTCAGATCCAGAGTTCCCACCGTGTCCTGTGGGAGGATGACTTCACTGTCTACTGCCTCTAATAACAGCGTATGGGATGTTACGCCGTCTGCTTTATTCACCATTCCTCGACTTCAGCTATAAAATATTTTGATACTTGAGAAATGTAACCACCAAACAGGCTTGTACTTTATATCACCTCATGCTGGATTTGTTGTACTTCACTAAATTGTTTTATAAACTGGCTTCATGGCCACAAAGTCACAATAATAGCTGTATCAAATCTAAAGAAGTCAATACTGATTTTGAAACCACAATGATGAGAACTTCTTTATACAATGTAATAATAGTTTCTTGTATAAAAATGTCCTTAAAAGGACTATTCAAAAACTACTCTATGTATGTGATGTGATCAGTATTTGATTGAGAATTTCCCAATCTTGGTCAAGTGGACTCGGTACACTTCACAATTCAACAGTTCTCATAACAGCACTGAAATGTTTCAAAAGAACTGAACCGGTATTGCTTAGCTGCAATCAATGGTCCAAAGGGGGCGTGACAGGAAGTATTTTTGGTCCTATTAGTTAGAATAGATTACAATTGATCCAGGACTTGGACCAGTTGGAAAATAATGAAAGTGAACTCTGGTTCACTTGGAACATACTGTGAACGCAACCTAAATATCTCTGGGTCTCTGGGAATTAACAAAAAAAAGATTAATCCATACGTACGGTGTATGTCCTGTCTGAGCATTTGAGAATCAAAATTTACTCCATAAAACCAGGACTAAGGTCTAATATGTCCAAACATGAATTGTCCAAGGACACATATTTCAGGCAAGATGTTGAAACCTCTGTGTTCGATCCAAAAACAGCTATCATGGACAATTCAATAATCTTTTCTCCTGAAAATGATGAAATTCTATACCTGACCTGGCCTTTTCCACCTGACATGTTAAGTCAGTCAACATCACTTATAATTGAAACACCATGTAACTTAAAGTATTTTCTAGAAAGAGGACCAGCTGCCAGTCTCAATGGGGGTATACTTTTGCAAGAAGAATGTTCTAAGAGTGACATATAACACAAATCATTTAATTCCATTGAGATGTTATTGAGATTTAAATAAATTCTGTCAAATTGCAAAAGAAAAATAAATCCTACGAGCCCAGACTGTGCGAGCAATGAAACTCTGTACATGGGCCCATAACCCGTTATAATAACGTGAAATACTGTAGTAATGTAAGAATTTGAAATATTTGACTATATTTGATAGTCACAATATCTTTCCGTATCCTCATCCTTAGCTACTAATATATTACAGGTTTCAGCCATCACTGTACATATTACATACATATTACACTATACATATTAGTTAAGATTTATACTTCAGCCAAGATCTTTCAGCACAAAAATGTGTGTTATTCTCTCAATAATATAGCTCGTTTTGTTTTGTTTTTTTCCCTCTACTGGTCTCTGTTATGTGCACAATAAATATCCCTACTGCAGGACAAATACAGCTAGTTTTATCTTTTCACATACACATACTAAATGATGTATAAGATGCAGCTGACTTACCCTCCTTCAAAGATCTTGATCCGGGTCGGCTCAACGATGGCTGGTTTGACTGACACCTCCTTCTGTTCTGGTTCATCTTTGGACCTGTCCCAGGAAACCACTCCCTTCATCTTCTTCCCAAATTTACTCACATCAACGGGCATCAATTCTGGCTTCAACTGGACAAACAGAAATAGATACAATATTTTCAACAAACAGAAAATTGTGGCATAAATGACCACAGTAGATTGGTCACGTCATCGATTTTTTTCAACATATTCTATTATGACATAAGTGGGTGTTGGCCAGGGGTCTCCAACCTGTAGCTCGCCACCGCCTTCCAGGTAGCTCGCTAAAGAATATAGAAATTAAAATTTCAAATCATAGACTCAGATTGTAATATCTATTATCATTATCTATTATTGTAAATTCACTTATTTTGCACTAGTAACAAATATGCGATGATAAATAATGACTGTATCCGATATTAGGCTTGTTCACACCAATATATTCCCGGAGCCCCTTAAAGGAGTAGCTAGCTGCCTTTATTGTCCCGGCAAAGAAACTCTCTGGGTGAAAAAGGTTGGAGACACCTGGTGTAGGCTATTTAGGCAAATGAAGTGAAGTTGAACAAACACACACACACACATAGACACACACATAGACACATACATGGAATAAATTCACTATTAGATATGCTGCCCCAAAAGCTCTGCATATTTTTCACACTTTGGAAGAGGGTTGAGGGGATGTGATCATTAAGTTACCCCAATATAATTGAGAACACAGGTGAGCCAAAAAACACTGACAAAACACATTATTATACATTAGAAAAATAATGCACAGGGGAGCCCATTCAAATACTTATGATGCGGAAATTACCTGATCAAACCGCAGCTTCCAGGCAACAGACGAGACCAGTTTCCCAGAGCTCTGCGGCATCAGCGCTGCCGTGGTGAAGATCCAGTCCGTGTATCTCTTTTGTTTGGACCGGAGAAGAGCTAGTGCAGCTTTTGTGCTAAGATTCAAAGGGTTGGGATTGTAAGAGCTCACACACCAGGAGCTATACACTGAATTACGTTCGCTAACCAGATTGCTGTTTGGTTTGGTGTAGTTCAAAAAGCACCAGGTAACTTTGCTAAGAGTTCTTAAGCTTGGGAATTGGAAAAACTGCTGGGCCTCTGCTGTATCTGTCCTGTGCAAAGATTGTCCACTATTTTGGTTAGCAGCGAGTTGGACTAGCATGCTAACAGGGGATTTTGTGGGGTTATCACTTTCCTTGTCCTCATTAGATGCCATTGATTGTGGACTAGGATTGGAAATGTCAACCTCGAGATCTTCCGGTGAGTCTCTCCCACAAGCTTTCGGTGACCGAACGGTAATAATTTGCAATGGTGGGGTAAAACTTTCAGCTCGAGGCAAATCTGGAAGCTGCGGCACTGAAGATCGTACAGGTATCGACATTTTGGTAGGCACATTACTTAAAGGGGGAGACTGGGACATCCTTTCAGATTCTTTAGATTCTTCTTTTGATTGGTTGTAATGTCTGACTTTGCTTTCGGTACCACTCAACTCCACAGCACCCATCTCTTTGACAATTTGCCCATACATTCTTTCTTCTTTGACCCGTTTTTGATGCTTAGTTTGAAAGAGCAGCTCCAAAGAACTGGTTGGTGATAGCATACGTTTACCTCCAACACCTGAACTAGATGCATCTGTTGTAGAAATTGTTCCTGATGTTAGCGAAAGTGGGATTCCTGTGTTTAGAGATCCCAAATTAGGTGACTTTCTTATTGCAGAAAGATCAGTTTGTCCAAGGAAATTAGCTAAGTTGAATCCAGTACCACTGATGCCACCGGAAATTCCCCCTGAAGGTTTTTTGCTTGCAACAGGCGACGGTATGCTGTTTGCAAGACTGATTAATTGTCCATCATCTTGAGAGGTTACTAGCTGGCTAACACTGGTGTACATAACACTACCGAACGATGGCACATTGGTGTGTATGCGGACAGGAACTAGCATACCGGGTAGAGAGGCTTGTGGGCTTGCGCTTTGAGTCGCAAATACTGGCTGGATCTGTTGCAAAAGCATAGGATTGGGGGTGAGGGTGGATTGGCTAGCCTTAGATACAAAGTGAGGCTGAGGCTGAGGAGAATTGCGGGATGAAAAATTCCCAGCATACATTTGGGACATTTCCACTTTTGCATCTGGTGGTGGCTGATCATGAATTGAATGTTTGTGAGTGGGATGTCCAGAGGAGCGTACGTGGATTTTTTGAAGTTGTTGTTGCGCTTGAATGGCAAGTTGGTGTCTGGGGATCTGACCACCATCTTGGCTCCAGTACAGGCCTTGTTGTGGGAAAGGTATAAATGGCGGAACACTTGGATATTGTATAATTTCCTTATTCATGACCTCTTGATGTTCTCCTTCTGAGGAAGATCCCTGGGTTTGTAGGCGGTAGTGCTGGGCTCTAGTAATAAGAAAGAGAGGGACTGATTACATTTCTGATTAGTATTGATATGTCAGTATGTAAATAGATTGTTGATTAATGTATTTTAAATCAACCACATTTTATGTATAACTTACTGCATATTTATGATTTAAAGTGCAGTACCACAAAGAATGATGAATAGGAGGAGACTTCTGCCTGTTCTACAAACTAGCAGCTATATTTTGCATGTACCAAATAAGATTGTTTAAAGCCCTTTATGGTCCAGCTACAGATCCTCTTGTATTACAACAGAAACAAGGAGGGACAAATTCTCCAGGAATCCAATCCAATACTTCTAACAGGAATGGTTCTTTGGGAATAAAAATAGGATGTTTCATGTATTACCTGACATGAAGAGGTTCATCTTGAAGACTGTCCTCACTGATGCTTTGTTGGAGTATGTACTGGGCATGAAGAGATGGAGCAACACCTTTGTACAAGAAACAATAGGTAAATCAAAAAACACAAAAACATGAAGAGTAGAAAATGACATAAAGCTTACCACTGCTGAGTCGTTTGCTCCTCATGACATCACCACTTGACCAAGACCCATGATCCTCCTTTTTAATCGTCATCTCGCTTGAAGACTCCTGAACTACTGCCTCTGGATAGACACTCAGTGAAGGCTGAAAATGCACAAGCAAGGCAAACAAATTAAAGCCCTCCTTGGTTTTTAAAGCTACAGTTCTTTAAGCAAGCAGTTCCACAAGCATCTGACCTTGGACCACTTTTTTTTTTCTTTTACCTGTCGGACCAGAAATCCTCTTCTCCTTTCCTTCATGCCAGAGGCACTGGAGTAAACCTCTCCTTGTCGTGAGGATGATAGACTTCCATAGTCAAAAGATTTGCTTCTCATTTCGGATAATTCCGAAGGTAAAGTGCAAGGGGCTTGCTCTGAAGAAGACCTCCTCATCTCCCTCTGCTGGTGGTGGCCCGAATGACCAGTGCCCGGCACTGTCAGGAACTCAGACTGTTTAGGTACACCAACACTAGACATTGAGTCCTCCTGATTGAGACAAAAGTGGAAAGGAAACACTTAAGAGTTTGTAAACATACATTGTATATGTTATGGATGTAGACCATCCAGGGTCTAAATTTACTGCAATGCAAAATGTCCTGTTCAAATAAATACAGTATATGTTGTAGATATAGTATATTAATATTAAGAAAATAATCAAACCTGTTTGGTAGGGGACATTGACTTGATTGCTTCTTCTTTATCGAAGGACATTGAGAACGAAGAGGAGTGGGACAAATTGCTTTCTTGGCTGGGACTTCTGGACAGACTTGTACAGGTTGATTCAAAACTGGACTCCCCTGATGAGTGCTCCATATCAGCCAACCTCAATCTTTTCTTTTTGGGCGGCAACTTCTCGGACGGCATTTGGGACAGTGTATCACTCCTTTGTGGCAACTGAAACTCTTCTTGGTGGGGTTGTGTTTTTTCAAGCTCCTTATACACAGGCATTTCCGAGTCTTTCTCTGGCTTATCCGGTTCTTCAGTCACTCTGATTTCTGGAACTTGGATGTTAGGTTGACGGACCAGCTTGTGTGGTATGTGATAGGGTTGTCCAGGAGAAGGCGCTGCCGATGAAGATGAATGAGAAGCCAAGTCGCTGTCACTTTGGACCTGTTGCTCTATACTTTCAGTCCTGAACAAAGCTGATTCTGGACTCAAAGCATCTTCATAAATGTCATTGTCCGATTGTTCAGAGTACTGGCTAACGAGAGGTCTATCCTGATATGATAGCTGATCAAAAGATTCTGACTTCTCAAAAGAATTTGGCCTGCTGAGTGAATTTGTGTGCTGGATGACAGATATAACATTCCCGACTGCCTTGCGGCCTTCAGACTCATTAAAAAGTGCAATGTCTTCAGAGCACATACTGGCACATGTATCAAAGCTGTCAGACTGGCTATGAAAAGAGCCTTTTCCTGTTGGGGTACTCCTTGCGCCATCAAGACTACCTTTAAATTCATAATCTATCGCCATTTCCACTGAGCCACTACAGCTACTATCACAATGTCCTGGGCTATCCTCCTCATCACCAACACTGATGACCTTTCGTCGTTTCCTTGTTGCAAGATCTGACATGCTAACTTTAGTACCTTGCAATCCAACCATTTTACTGCCCACAACTTCTCCAACATGTGTTTCGTTAGTTGGATGCTCAAATGCTGTTTGCCTCCTAAGAATTCGAAGCGATGGGTAAAATACTTCATCTGGAGGCATCGTTTCGTCTACAGAGTGGCTGCCTCGGATTCCAGATGGGACGCTATGGTTTGGAGGTGGTGGTGTTGGCATTGAGTTGCTTCTAGTGAGATGACTTGATTCAGAGGGAGGTTCGAGGAGCCCAGTGCTGCTTTGACATGGTCCAATTGGATATTGCTTTGGGTCTCCAGATATACCAACATCACCTCGAAAACACATGTCTTCAGTAAGCCTTATGCCAGCAAAAGTGTTAGGGTCTGCACCAGCCATTCCTACTGTTATGGACTGTTTAGATCGAGAATTTGGGCGATAGTACCATGTCCTGCCAAACATTATTTCTTCGTAAGTTTTGACATTCGTATTTGCAGGGCTATTTTGCTGTTCTGCACTTTCAGAACGGGAAAAGTACCCTGAGTCTGTACTGCCTTTGCTATGTGGGCTCAAAAGATTGAGTGATTGGGTTGCGGGATCTGAATCTAGACTTTTCTTCTCTTTTAATCTCAGAGCTAGACATTTTTTAATGCTGGGTGTATCGTCCAAAGAGTGCACCCGTCCCCCAGCTTGAGAACCCAGCATGTGATGTGAGGTCTTAACGTCTTGGAAAGGGGGGCATTCCATTCCGGGAGAAGGGACAGCACCAGGTTTAGGAACTATCAGGATAGGCACTTTCATGGCTCCCATAGAAAGCTCTTCAGCCGAGTCTGCATAGGCGGGCTCCACACCACCTATGGACCAGATGGACAATAATCAAGAGACTCGAAAAAGTCTGGTTACACACCCATCAGTTCTCGATGCAAAAGCACTGATTTAAAACATGAAAGAGCACTGTATGTATGAGAGCATATGTTCTGTCTGATGGCCAAAACATAATTACGACAAAATGTCTTATTTTATTATTAAGTGAACCCATCTATTAAATAAAACACAGAAGACCAAACATTTGAAAGAAAATATTGTGCACTATTTCTTTTATACAGCATATTCTGATGAAGTACACCAAATAATGAATAGTCTGCTTAGCTATTTTATTTCTTAAAGAACACATAGTGATCTGTCTCACATAATAAATGACCATCTATCAAATACTGAGATTGTTTACATAATTTGAGTAAAATATTCAGTATGTATCACCACATGAAGAACCAAAGAAAATCAGTGTACAAATATACGTAAGGTAATGAATAATGAGCATGACCAGAGGAACTGGGGGAGCAATGTGGTCTTGGGTGTATGGGAGAATATAAATTATTATTAGAATGATATTGTTCAGAAAAATCCAAAACAGTTTTACTGGTCTATGATAATAAGTCACCTTTAAGATCCAAGTTTCTCTATGAAAAAATAGTGGAATGAAAATGTTGTGTGTGAATTAAACTAATTCTAATAAATCCCTTTTACTCTACTACTCTCCAACGCTACTTTGGCACAGAAAGCGTTAAGTGGAAAAGAACCATTTTTATTTAAACTGATATAATTATTTAGCTCTTGGGTAGAGTAAACTAGTACATTGAACCTATCAAGTTATGGTGGCTTTCTCTTGTGTTCAAGTTTACCTGCATTTTTCCCAGCCTCAAAAGATATTTGAGGTCCAGGACCATCCATCAGCATCATAGCTCCTTCCACCTCCTCGTCTGTGTCTGTGCTCTGCTCTCCGTCTGACTGCACCTCTGCTTCCCCTGATGGAGAGGCCTGGTCCGACTCTCCGGCTCGAGCGGCGGCCAGCTCAGAGAATGGCACCAGACCTGCTTTGATGGCGTGAGCGTGGGACTTGCGGTGCTTGTAAAGGTTGCTTTTAGTTTTGAAGGAGAATCCACAGGGCACGCATGGGTAGGGCCTCTCTCCTGTGTGCGACCGGATATGCTTTTTCAACACGCTTGGTTTGGCGCAAGCTCTTCCGCAAAAGTGACAGATATACTTCCCAGGCTTTTTGGGCTTCTGATCTTTCTTTCCATGACTTTCTTCCAAGGAGTCAGATTGGGAATACTGCCCAAATGAACTGGGTAAACTTGGTGATTTTTGTCTTGGAAAACGTCCTCCTCCAGATGCATGCGGTTGCGTGTGCCCAGGATGTCCAAATAATTCATCCGAAGGGAGCTGTCCGGCAAAGGGCCAAGCATGAGACTCGAGTCCTGGCTGGGGTTTGGCTCCTGACAAGAATCGCTGCTCTGTTTGAGGATGTTGTGGATACTGTTGACTCATCTGGTAGGGATATCCCCTCGGAAATCCCTGCCCATATGGTCCTTGTGATTCTTGCCCTTGACCTCCCATTGAAGACTGTACTGGTAGCCTTTTCCCAGAATTTCCTACCATTCCATACTTTTGACGTGGCACAGATCCACCGGTAGCACCACAAGGTACGCTCTCTCTGCTTTTAGCTTCCGAATCGGCAAAAGTGCTTCGTTTGGTGGATGTGGGTTCTGATGCCCACTTCCTTTGCAAAGTTGCCTTGTCCTTCATTGCATCTTTGCTTTGGCCTTTCTGCCCACCACCGGAAGCGGATTCTTGAGCTTCCATCATGTAATGCTTTTTCTTAGGTTTGAAAAGGGGAAAGCTAGGGAGATTTTGAATGTTAAAAAGTCCCAAAGCTTCTTAACATCATAGCTCAAAGTTCTGGGGCTGAAGCCAAGTTCAATTCAGGTCCATTGTTGTACCAGATCAAAATATGGTTAAGCAAAAACACAGAAGAATGCAATGACGACATCAGCAATGCGGCTCTCTGGTTGTGATAGTGTAAACATGATATCTTGCAAATCCAAGGTGAGTAAAATATCTACAAAAAGAAGACAGGAAATCACTCAATTTTACTATTAACTTGAAGAGACTTAACTCTTGTGGTAAATGTTGTTACAATTTATCAAATACCTCTTATATGTAAAAGTGCACATATATCCACATTTGGTAGATTTAGAAGTCATCCATCTTGTCCAGCAGGAAATCTACAAAACAAAGAAAAACAACCGTTATTGCATTAATTGCAACAAAAAATTAACCAGAGCTGGTGTCATGACAACACTTTATTTGACTTTTTTTCAAAGTTCATTAAGATCACGTGAACACACTCCATCGCTGTTTATATTCTCAAAAACAAAATTAACCCTTGCTTTATAAGTGCTAGCAAGTAAAGCAGTCCAGATGGCAAGGCCTTTATCACAAGACTATATGTCACGCAAAGTTTCCGACATCTTTTTCAAACTTGTCAAAGACTGCCTAAAGGGTATAATATAGATGCCATTATATGTCAAAGACTGCCTAAAGGGTATAATATAGATGCCATTATATGCATGCATTATATGCATCGGGACAGACTTTTTTTCAAAGTTCATTAAGATCACGTGAACACACTCCATCGCTCTTTATATTCTCAAAAACAAAATTAACCCTTGCTTTATAAGTGCTAGCAAGTAAAGCAGTCCAGATGGCAAGGCCTTTATCACAAGACTATATGTCACGCAAAGTTTCCGACATCTTTTTCAAACTTGTCAAAGACTGCCTAAAGGGTATAATATAGATGCCATTATATGCATGCTTATACAGTATCTCTCCCATCTGCGCTGCTTTCTGCCCGTTTCCTCCTTGCGCCCTCCTTCCCTTCGCTCAATGACTCACTGGTGCAATGCAAGCCCACGCTGTTCCTAAAAAGACACAAAGGCTTAAAAATAGCATCGGGGGAAGTGACGTTCGCCAGTCATAATGTGTGGAGGTGGTCGAAGAGGCCAAGGCTCAGAGCAAGAGGCAAGAATCTGTCTTACAGCTTGTTTGTTTACAAGGGGAAAGAAGTTCAATGTCAGAAAGACAGGAATGTGCAACAACTGAGAGTCAAACTATGTCAACAAAAAACTCAAATGACCCTATAGATAAAGCTGTACAGTATTTGCGGCACTTCTACAACAAACTAGTGTACAAGTGTGTCAAATGATTCTGTTAATGCCACAATTATGTTACCTGTCCATATAAAACTATAACCTCCTTGCAATAACATTAGTTGTTGATGCAAGTTCTTCCTCTGTTCTCACATAAGTTGTTGCCCTAGCAAAAACAGTATTGCTTAACATTATCCCTTACAACTATAATAAATAGTAACTTCTGAAATCACTGGTGGAAATTCTAATCATGCATTGCTAGAAAACCCCAGATTGAGATGCTCAGAGATCTCTTGTCAGCGGCCTATGCCCCAGGAGGGGTAGTAGACGCAAGTAAGTAAGGATTGCTGTAAACATATAAACGTAAACTGGACTAGAGTTGGCCAATCCATGACTTATAGAAACTAGTAAATGGTCTAATTTTTGCTTTGTGACCTTTGGCTCAACACCCAACTTTGAGATGGTTACATTTTGGTCTGCTATGATGAGGAGCACGTTTACATTGAAAAATAGGTGAAATGTATACAGTTAAACAATGTTCAGAACAAAGCGTATTGTTGTTATTTGTTTTTGAGCAGCTTTTTACTTTCTGTATTTGTGAAAGAAGTTCCTGAACAAAGAGTGTGCATTGCAGAGGTGACATCTGCTCGTGCCGCAGTGCTAACAAACTTTTGTATGTTTCCACAGTGTAACGTCTCAGGGACCACAGAACACCTGGGAGAGGAAGCGGCCGGGCAGATAACACTACGCAGCTGCTGAGAGTGCACATTTATGCCGCGTATTTCCTCATTGCACTTTGTAAAAATAGCCCCTGCGTAGCTCACACAAACCCATTGCAACACAGTTAAGCAGGACCTGGTGACGTCTCAGGGCCCAACGTGAGAGCTAAAAATAACTGTACAGCAAAACACGCCGCATTCTTTCAAGCAGGGAAATTAACTTTAGCCCATTTCAACCCCACATCTGACACAAAGCTGGCCAAGGATGGGGAAGTTTGCAATAGACGAAGAAAGAAAGTTGAACAATTAAAAAATGGTGACATTAGCAAGAAAGTTGCATGTTGCAAATCCAACATGCCAGAACAAACTGTAAAGGTTCAGAATAGGCATTGTTGAATACAGTGATCTAGCTTTTACATGTCGGATATGATCTTACAATATCAGCCAATACCTGACAGTCGTAATTATTACAAGTTATAACATTCTGGGTGAATATCAGCCCATAAATACTGTTGTTTTATTGCATAATTGTATAAGTGTATCGGCTTATACAACGCTATAGAACAAAAATACTTGAATGATTATCTCTTTATCTCTATAGTTGACATTGGACAGTTTGTTCTATTTACTACAGACTTTTACACAATCCACCTATGAACGGGTTGGCGTTTGTTTTGTAACAGCCGGTCAGCGTAGCACTGAGTGGGAGACTGTGTTATGGTGAATGACTTACATAAAGCTGGATATATATATGTGCTTGAGGAGAGACAGGGCTCAGGGCAGTAGGTGAAATCATGAGGGGAAAGCTTGTTTGAAAGGCGGGGTTAGAAGATTTCGCGGAGGGAAGCAAAGGTGCAGATATGAGCTAGAATCGTAGATTTGTTTTTATTGTTTATTAATAGTCATCCCGCTCCATATGCACCGAATAGCTCCTACGTTTTTGTTGTTATCATATTTGCTGTGTTCGAACTGTTTGATTCCCTGATCTGTTGTTAAGGAATCAACAACTAAAGTTCTCCGTGACGACGATGTTGTGATTTAGGGCTATTCAATAATACATTTAATTGAAAATTACTGTGAAAGCTCTTTCTATTTGACACTTTTTCACTTTTCTCTCTGAAAAAGCTGATCTAAAGACGTAACAAAGGCCAAGAACAAACACTGCATGTGACAACTAGTGATAGAACCAAATTGTATTAGAATTAGGAACTAGTTAAATAGATTTTACATTGTTACTTTTTTGCTGGATGAATGTTAGACATCTTAGTTTTTCCAAGGCCCCTAAGATAAACTCTACTGTCAAATATATAAACAACCTGAATCTTGAAGTTGCCTAAATTCATTCATGTATTGTGTTAAATAATTGGTGAAAACAGTGAAAAGCTTTTGGAATCGTATCTGTTAATCTTCGCGCAGCCTTCCAGCTTAGCGTCTCATTCCCGCCCCCCACTTTGAGAACCAAAGAGTCTAAATGATAAAAATTCACAATGTAACAATAGATGCACTAGACCAAATATTAAATAATACATGAAATTACATAAAAATAGAAAGCACTCAGACAGTTAACCACACTATAGGCTACTTTGAATGCAACATATGTCTAACAGTCAGTCAAATCTGCACTTAGAGCTAAAATTGAATCCACTTTTCCAAACAGAGAGAGTGCTGACATATCTGCTGTGGACAGCTACCATCTACATGTCTCAATTTTCTAGTAGGCAAGGAAACCCTATGTTTATAGCCCATAGTTAAAACTCAGACAGCCACAAGATTATCACCTATACCATTCTGTAACAAGGGCCATTCAAGTCCCAGCAGCTGACCACTACTACAATTATGACTTCTGTTTAAAAGTCCACCCGCTCAAGTTGTTTTAAACTGCAGTATATGGATAAACAAATATGTCAAAATCTTTAGAGAGCTGATGAACCAAGAGAGAGATGAACCAAGTGCAATACATACTGGAAAAGTTAGCATAAATATCACTTTGGAACAGGGCAACAAGTCAACATAAACTGTGACTAGATTTGTGATTGTTTTGTGAGTTATTTTTTCAAAGTTTGTAAGCTTCATGCAATATTTTGTCAAAGGGTTTCGGATTGGGTTTGATTTGAATTGAGAAGCTGCTTCCATAGAACTCCTATTAACTAAAATGACAACAAACAAAGGCTTGGTTTTGACACTTTACAGGTAATAGGTCTATATCATTATAGTTTCACATTGTAAGTTGAATTACAGATAAAAATGACCTTGAACCTGTGAGTAATCCTTCACAGCAGTTTATTTGCCTTGATCAGTGGGTGGTGTAGTAGTTGTATAGCTTTGCTCATACATTCTTTATTTATTTTACTATATTCCTATCTTCTCTGTGGGTTACATAGATATTTGTTTGATAACCACGAGCCCAGACGTCTGCAGAGGAGGAGGCCAGTGCTAAATGAGCTCACTGGGGTGCCTCAGACCGACACACAAGCTTCAAATTCCTCTGGGACCAAAACAAACATGAAGCTATTTCTGCCCTTTTCTGATAGTGTCTCT